AGAGGATTTGGGAATGAGAGAGATTTCCGCAAAGAAGGCGATCTTCACGTTTCATCCAATCTTTTGAAGCATGCAGAGGTGGTGTGTTTTTTTTTTTGTTATATTGCATTCTGGGAATTACATTGCAAAATATAGCACTTAAGAGAAATGCATTGTTTGGGGTTTAAATATCTGACAGAAAAATCTAACCCTTCCCCTCAAAACTAAAAAAAAAAAAATAAAATTTGATTAAAGCAGATAAAAAAAACCTCTTATACACAATTAAGATTGATAAATGTACATTAAACACTTTTTTGTCTGTTGGTTTATAACAAAGTGCTTTTTTGCACACTGATTTATACAATTCTAAATGGAGTTATAGCATTTCCCATTTTATTCATAATTCATAGGAATAAGCTTTTACTACCCTAGACAACCTTGCTCCAGGCTGACATGTTAGCAGGAAGACAGATGACCTTCCAGCTGTTTCTTGTAGTGTATTCAGAAAGTGAAGAGACAAGCATTCAAGCAGAGAGACAATGATTACAAACACATACTGCATGTCATGAAGCTGCTGAGGATGAGGGAAATTGGTCAGTTGTGAAGAATATGTAATTTCAGTGCAGTGCAAATTTATTATTATTATTTCAGGTACTTTTATGGTGCTGTCAGTTTATGCAGCGCTATATATATATATATATATATATATATATATATATATATATATATATATATATATATATATATAGTACATTCACATCAGTCCCTAACCCTCAAGGAGTTTACAATCTAAGGTCCCTAACTTACATTATACATACACGTACTAGGGCCAATTTAGACAGGAGCCAATTAACCTACCAGCATGTCTTTGGAGTGTGGGAGGAAACCGGAGTACCCGGAGGAAACCCAAGCAGGCACAGGGAGAACATGCAAAAACCAGGCGGTGGTGTGGCTGGGATTCGAGATTTGAGTGCACTTTTCAGGTAGAAGTGTGGTATCTGCATAATTGGTGTACAGTTGTGGCCAAAATTATTCAACCCCCAATGCTGTAAAGGGGTTTAGGGACTATAGTGTACATTTGGAATTGTATTCAGAATCAAATCCTACAAGGACGTTGTAACTACCCAAATGCAACTAAAATGACATCAATTGTTTATGTAATACAGTAGTAAATGGTTCTTATGTGGTTTCTTCATTGCCACAATTATTCAACCCCTTAAAGACTACCACTCTGAAGAACAGAGGTTCATACAGGTGCTTTCCATCAGGTATTGAAAACACCTGTGGATGTCACCGAGCAGCAATCAAGCATAATAAGCACCAATTAGGCAGCTTTAAAATGACTGTGATACTCAGCTCCTTCTAGACATTTACTGGTGTGGTTACAAACATGGTGAAGGCAAGAGAATGGTCCAGGAAGACAAGAGAAGAGGTGATTTCTCTTCACAGGAAGGGCAATGGCTATAAGAAGATTGCAAAGATGTTAAACATACCAAGAGACACCTTAGGAAGCATCATTCGCAAATTCAAGGCAAAGGGCACTGTTGAAACGCTACCTGGTCGTGGCAGAAAGAAGATGCTGACTTCGACTGCTGTGCGCTACCTGAAGCGTAGAGTGGAGAGAAGTCCCCGTGTGACTGCTGAGGAACTGAGAAAAGATTTGTCAGATGTGGGTACAGAAGTTTCAGCCCAGACAATAAGACGCACACTGCGTAATGAAGGCCTCCGTGCCAGAACTCCCAGGCGTACCCCTTGCTGTCTCCAAAGAATAAGAAGAGTCGACTGCAGTATGCCAAAAGCCATGTGGACAAACCACAAAAGTTGTGGGATAGTGTTCTGTGGACTGATGAAACAAAATTAGAACTGTTTGGGCCCATGGATCAACGCTATGTTTGGAGGAGGAAGAACAAGGCCTATGATGAAAAGAACACCTTGCCTACTGTGAAGCATGGTGGAGGGTCAATCATGCTTTGGGGCTGTTTTGCTTCTGCAGGTACAGGGAAGCTTCAGCGTGTGCAAGGTACCATGAATTCTCTTCAGTACCAGGAGATATTGGATGGAAACGTGATGCAGTCCGTCACACACCTGAGGCTTGGGAGACGTTGGACCTTTCAACAGGACAATGATCCCAAGCATACCTCCAAGTCCACTAGAGCATGGTTGCAGAGGAAAGGCTGGAACATTTTGGAGTGGCCATCGCAGTCACCAGACTTAAATCCGATTGAGAACCTCTGGTGGGACTTAAAGAAAGCAGTTGCAGTGCGCAAGCCTAAGAATGTGACTGAACTGGAGGCCTTTGCCCATGAAGAATGTGGGCGAAGATACCCGTAGATCGCTGCAAGACACTTGTGTCAAGCTATGCTTCACGTTTAAAAGCTGTTATAACTGTAAAAGGATGCTGTACTAAGTACTAAGATTGAATGTCACTTGGGGGTTGAATAAAACTGATAATGCTGTGAGCACAGAAAAGACATTTGTGGTTATTTCATTATAACTGTTATGTTATATTTGTCTGACCTACAAGTGCCTCTTTAATGTAAATGTAAGCAAGATGACTGAATGATCAAAAGCAATGTCAAACTGGCCAAAACACTCAATTTCAGTGGGGGTTGAATAATTTTGGCCACAACTGTATAAGAGGTCATTGGATGACATTTTACAATTTATGTTTTTTTAATTAAAAGTTTTCCCAGGGTCTTTTTGTTGCCTTTGTTTAGTACCCATACACTATACAATTCTCATATGACTACACGTCATTAGCTGGTATTTTGTGGTGTTTTCAGTGTGTGCATTTGAGTCACCAAAAATTGACATTTAAGATCCAACTGTACACATTATTTACAAACACTGGAGAGAGTGCAAAATTTGGTGCAACTCTGCACCAAAAACAAATGTTTACACAGGTTTTCCTGCCAAAGCTTAATTAGACAAGCTGAAATTAGAAGCAGATTGGCTACCGTGCAGAGCTGCACCAGATTTATGAATGCACTAGTTTTAGTAAATCAACCCCACAGTTTTAACCCAGATTCCAAAAACTTTGAGACGCTATGTAAAATCTACATAAAAACAGAATGCAATGAGTTGCAATCTCATATACCTGTATTTTATTTACAATAGAAAATACAGTCATGGGCCCAATATATTGGCACTAGGGGTGCCAATGAAAATTCTGGCGCAAAATGGACACTGGCAGCGAGGGGCGGGTTGTAGTGATCTGTCATCGGCTGTGTCCCATGGACCTGCGCACAACCAGTGACAGATTGCGCCAGGAGGGTTTTCTCTCAGCCGTCATTGTACAATAGGCTGGGTGGGAAGAAGTTAAAGGGGTGTCAAGTGCGTGTAGGCTGTGCATGGGATTGATATCAGGTGATCCACCCATCCCATGCGCACCTTGGCACCCATCCCATGTGCAGCCTGCGCACCTTGGCGCCCATCCCCAGCTTGCGCACCTTGGCGGCCCATCCCATGTGCAGCCACTGCGCACCTTGGCGCCCATCCCATGTGCAGCCTGCGCCCACCTTGGCCCATTCCCATGCGCAGCCTGCGCACCTTGGCACCCATCCCATGCGCAGAGCCTGCGCACCTTGGCAGCCCATCCCATGCGAGCAGCTGCGCACCTTGGCACCCATCCCATGCGCCAGCCTGCGCACCTTGGCACCCATCCCCATGCGCAGCCTGCGCACCTTGGCACCCATCCCATGCGCAGCCTGCGCACCTTGCACCCATCCCATGCGCAGCCTGCGCACCTTGGCAGCCATCCCTTGCGCAGCCTGCGCACCTTGGCAGCCATCCCATGCGCAGCCTGCGCACCTTGGCAGCCCATCCCATGCGCAGCTGCGCACCTTGGCACCCATCCCATGCGCAGCCTGCGCACCTTGGCACCCATCCCATGCGCAGCCTGCGCACCACTTGGCACCCAATCCCATGCGCAGCCTGCGCACCTTGGGCAGCCATGCGCAGCATGCGCACCCTTGGCAGCCACACACCTGCGCAGCGCGCACCTTGGCAGCCATCCCATGCGCAGCCTGCGCACCATGGCAGCCATCCCATGCGCAGCCTGCGCACCTTGGCACCCATCCCATGCGCAGCCTGCGCACCTGACACCCATTCCCATGCGCTGCCTGCACACCGGGCACCCATCCCATGCACAGCCTGCGCACCTGACACTGTCACGCTCCCCCCCCGACACCCATTTTATGCATAGCCTGCTGCCCCGGAAAACAGTTCTATTGCATAGCCTGCTCCCCTCACCGTGCAGCAAACTTAAAAGCAGCTTAGCTCGGTCCATCAAGCGGCGCAGCCAACAACACTGCCTATGCGCCAAGGCATCACTGCGCAGCCACGCCTCCCTCCTGTAAGAGAAGGGGTTAGCGCAACCCACATCTTTCCCCTGGTCAGAACGGACCAGGGTGGAACCAAGATGCAGTGGCACTCTCTTAATCTCCTCTCTTCTACAGCACTGGCCAAAGGACATTTTCGGCACCTGTATTGGTTTTTTTTTTTATATATCGGCAAAATGCCGATAGGGCTTGTTTTGACAACCACAATTTTGGTGCATCCCTATTCAACCTGACAAAACCTTTCTTACCTTTTTTTAATAAAATGGTACATTTTTAAAATTGATGGTAGCAAACACCTCAAAAAAAGTTGGGACAGGGCAACAGAAAGCTGGCAAAGTAAGTGGTACTAGCAAGGAAGAGCTGGAAGAACATTTTTGCAGCTAATTGGGTTAATTGGCAACAGGTCAGTAACAAGATTGGTTATAAAAACGGTATCTTAATTTACTAAAACTGGAGAGTGCAAAATCTGGTGCAGGTGTGCATGGTAGCCAATCGGCTTCTAACTTGTTTGTGCAATTAAGCTTCGACAAAATAGACTTGGAAACTGATTAGTTTCTATGCAGAGCTGCACCAGATTTTCACTCTCCAGTTTTCTTAAAAAACTTCGAGTGTCTCAGTAAAGATGGGCAGGAGTTTGCCAATCTCTGAAATGCGGGTCTAAAAAGATTTTAAATATATCATTTACAGCAGGGCTTGAAATTTCCACTTGCCCGCTCGCCAATGGCGAGTGTGTCCCCCAGGGCCGTCTTGCTGAGCAGGCTCGGAGCTCAGGCCGGATCTGTCATTGGCACTAGGAGCCCTCAGACTGCTCAAGGGGTGAGCGCAGTGAAAGCAAAGGAAGGAGTGTGTGATGTGCTCTCTGCCTCCCCCTAGAGTGCAGTACCTGGGTCTGTGAGTGAACAAACGAAGTACTGCAACTTTTTTATGGGGGTTTGTGTGTGTGTCTGTGTATGCATGTACATGTGTCTGCGTGTATGTACATGTATGTGTGTGTGTACGTGTCTGTGTGTGTTTGTGTGTTGTATGTACGTACATGTGTATGTATGTATGTTATGTACATGTGTCTGGGTGTGTGTATTTCTGTGTACGTACATGTATCTGTGTGTATGCGTGTCTGTATGTGCCTGTGTGTGTATACATGTGTCTGTATGTGTGTGTACATGTGTCTCTGTGCGTGTATGTAAATGTCTGTGTGTGTGTACAGGTGTCTCTGTTTGTGTGTGTTTGTTGGTGGCGAGTAACTCTTAAGGCCTGGCTAGAAGATCAGAACTTGAAAATTTTAAGCCCTGATCTACAGTACATAAAATGTAAAAGATTCAAAATAATCTGGAGAAATCTCTATAGGCAAGCAACGAGGCCTAAACGCAACATTGCATGCCTATGATCTTCAGACCTTCGGACTGCCATGCATTTAAAAACAGGCATGATTCTGTGTGATAAACATTGTAAACCGTATGTACTGGGCAGATGAAATGCTGTGTGTGGCGGCCATGTTCAGGTCCCAGGTCACCCATGCCATTTTCTCAGAATATGAGATAGAGCAGCAGTGACCAGTACAGTCAGATTAAGGACATATTTACCAGTTAATTAGAAGCATTTTGAGCCCAAACACCACTACCCTAGGAAGTACTAGGAGCAGAATTGGCCCAATTCCTCTCCTAGGTGAACGGGATATCTGAAACCTATCATATTTATATCCATTCAAAAGGTAATTGCATGTTAGACAATAATATACAAGTTAGCAGACTGTAACATGTAGGTATTCAAGCAAAGAGTAAAGAGAGTTGACAGCTCTCGTTTACCATCAATAGAAGGAAGATCTGTCGAGTTCTATGATAGACACTGTACCATCTTGCTCATTGCTGAACTTTGCTGAAACCCAGACTTTTAAGTATTTTCATTTTTCATCTCCTTTTTGGCTGTTGCATTTATCTTTGTTACCTTTTGAATACCTCTTCCTTTTTTTTTTTTTTTGTACAAGTTATATAAAAGTATAAGAGCAGTGGGGGGGGGGGTGCAAGATGTCTGTGAATGGGCGCTGGTGGGTCTACAAAGTGAGTGTAGGCACTGGGGGGGGTGGTGCACAAGGGGCATGTGAGTGTGGGCATTTTAGGGCCAGGGATTTAAAAGGTGCATTTGACTATGGGGACACTGGGGAGGTCCTTGTACCAGGTGCATGTGAGTGTGGTCACCGGGGCGGCACGCAAAATATACAAGGTGTATGTGAAGGTGGCATAGTTGTACAAGTTAAATGTGAGTATAGGCACTAGGAGTATTTACAAGGTGTACATGAGTGCAGGCTGTTTGTGTGTGGATGCTGGATATCTATACTGATATAGACTGGGTAATGTGTTAGGAATGTAAGGATGCCTCATAATTTGATGGAAATGAAAATTATCAACCTACAGAGGACTGAATTCAGATACCCTGAAAACCCAAGTGAAAAAATGGTGCAGCAGGCTAGTTCATTTTGCTGAAATTTCATTGCAGCAACTCAAAATGGTACTCAGTAGTTTGTATGACCCCCACGTGCTTGTATGCATGCCTGACAACATCGGGGCATACTTCTAATGAGACGACGGATGGTGTCTTGGGGTATTTCCTCCCAGATCTGAACTAGGGCATCACTGAGCTCCTGGACAGTCTGAGGTGCAACCTGACGGTGTCAGATGGACCGAAACTTAGTTACATAGTCTGGCTGAAAAAAGACAAAAGTCCATCTAGTTCAACCATTAAAAAAAAAAAAAAAAAAAGTTATTCTATACCCACAGTTGATCCAGAGGAAGGCAAAAAAAACTTCAGCAAAACATGATCCAATTTGCTCCTGCAGGGAAAAACATTCCTTCCTGATCCCCCAAGAGGCAATCGGATATTTCCTGGATCAACTTGTTAGTATCCAGTTATATTCTGTTTAAGAAATAATCCAGGCCTTTTTTAAAGCAATCCACTGAGCTGGCCAGAGCCAACTCTTGAGGGAGTCCATTCCACATTTTCACAGCTCTCACTGTGAAGAAACTTTTCCCTGTTTGGAGATTACATTTCTTTAACTCCAGACGTAAAGAGTACCTCCTTGTGCTCTGTGATGACCTCAGGGTGAATAGCTCTACACCAAGTTCACTATATGAACCACTGATGTATTTATACATGTTGATCATATCCCCCCTTAATTTCCTATCCTCAAGAGAGAATAAATTCAGTTCCTCTAATCTTTCCTCATAGCTGAGCTCCTCCATGCCTCTTATCGGTTTAGTTTCCCTTCTCTGTACATTCTCCAATTCCCCAATGTTCTTTTTGTGAATTGGTGCCCAAAACTGAACTGCATATTCTAGATGAGGCATTACTAATGATTTGTACAGGGGTAAAATGATATCTCTCTCTCTGGAGTCTATACCTCTTTTAATACAAGAGTGGATTTTGCTTGCTTTAGAAACTGCAGCTTGACATTGCATGCCATTATTAACATGATATCCCAGAGGTGTTCTATTGGGTTTAGGTCAGGCAAGCGTGGGGCCATTCAATGGTATCAATTCCTTCATCAGCCAGGAACTGCCTGCATACTCTCGCCACATGAGGCCGGGCATTGTCGTGCATCAGGAGGAACCGAGGACCCACTGCACCAGCGTAGGTTCTGACAATGGGTCCAAGGATTTCATCCAGATACCTAATGGCAGTCAGGGTGCCATTGTCCAGCCTGTAGAGGTTTGTGCGTCCCTTTATGGATATGCCTCCCCAGACCATCACTGACCCACCAGCAAAACGATCATGCTGAACGATGTTACAGGCAGCATAACGTTCTCCACAGCTTCTCCAGACCGTTTCACGTCTGTCACATGTGCTCGGGGTGAACCTGCTATCATTTGTGAAAAACACATGGTGGACCTACTAATTCTGGTGTTCAATGGCAAATGCCAGTCGAGCTCTATGGCGCCGAGCAGTGAACACAGGGCCCACTAGAGGACGTCAGGTCCTCAGGCCACCCTCATGAAGTCTGTTTCTGAGTGTTTGGTCAGAGACATGCACACCAGTATCCTGCTGGAAGTCATTTTGTAGGGCTCTGGCAGTGCCCATCCTGTTTCTCCTTGTACAAAGGAGCAGATACCTGCTGATGAGTTAAGGACCTTCTACGGCCCTGTCCGGCTCTCCTAGAGTAACTGCCTGTCTCCTGGAATCTCCTACATGCTCTTGAGACTGTTCTGGGAGACACAGAAAACCTTCTGGCAATGGAACGTATTGATGTGGAGGAGTTGGACTACCTGTGCAACCTCTTTAGGGCCCAGGAATCGCCTCTTGCTACCAGTAGTGACACTGACCCTAGCCAAATGCAAAACTAGTGAGAAACAGTCAGAAAAGATAGGTAGGGAAAAAACTTTCAGTGGTCTCCACCGTGTAGGTGGCAGGGCACTAGGACCCAGGCGCACCCGTCGTCTTGACAGTACTAGGCAGGCACTAGGACCTAGCCTGCACCTGTCAGGTGCAGGGCGGGCTATTTAAGCCAGCTCTGCACAAACACTTGTTGCCGAATGGTCTTTGTATGCTGTTACCTGTGTTGTGAGTATCTTGATCTGGATTGTTTGACCTTGCAGCCTTCTCCTGTCCTGACCCTTGGCCTACCTGACTCTGCTCCTGGATGTTCCCCTTTAAATCTGATCTTTTGGTATTGACCCTGCGTGTGACCCGACTATCCTTTGCCTACCGTTTTGTACCTCACCGACCCGCTAGTTGCCCACCCGGCCTGTATGACTCTGATTTAGCTCATCCATCCATCCCGCAGGGATCACTAGGCTCCCTCACATCAGACCCTTAGCCCCCTGGAGCTCCTGTCAGACTCCTCTACCCCTGTTGGAGATACCTAGCAGCTGCGACCTGGTACCGGAGCGCTCCAAGTCCATCCCCACCATCAGGGGCCCTGGTGAACAAGTGCTGCGGTGCTTAGACTCCGCACTCTGGGGAGGCTCTGCCAGGGGATTGATAGAGGTGCTGTCAGGTGGTCCATTACAGCTTCTCACCAGTTTGGTTGCCACATTTCCAGTTCTCTGATATCCTTTTTTATGAACTGGTGCCAAAAGCTGAGCTATTCCAGATGAAGTCTTACTAATGATTTGTTCAGGGTCAAAATTCTTTCTCTTTTTCTTCTTTCTCTCCAGTTTTTGATGCATATTACAAGTACAACACATTGATTCAAAACATAGACAAATGATAAATTATCATAGCAATAGGTAGGGTATAGCATTCTCATATTTCAAGACACTCTCTTCTTCAAAGAAACAGAGAAAGTACAGAAGCTAAAACAATTGGCAAAAACATATCACAACTAATGCTCAGCAATACGAAGAAAATCAGCTTTAAAGTGGTCGTAAAGGCTAAAGGTTTTTCACCCTCATGCATTCTTTGCAAGAAGGTAAAAACCTGTGTACTGCTCCCCCAACAGCCCCCCACCCCATACTCACCTGAGCCCCCTCTTGATCTAGGGATGTGCATGATAACCTTTGCTCTCCCAGGACTCTCTCCTTATTGGCTTAGACATCTGTCAAATCACAGCCAGTGAGCCAATGAGAAGAGTACAGGGGGCGGGGCTGAATCACAGCTTTATGTGTCTTATATAGCTGGATTCAGGAGCGGGCATACACCAGGGCCCCCTTAGCAAGTGGCTTGCTATTGGGGGCACTGGTCAAGGGGGAGGAGCCAGGTGTGCCGGCGGGGACCCGAGAAGAGAAGGATTGGGGCTGCTCTGTGCAAAACTACTGCACAGAGCAGGTAAGTGTAACATGTTTGTTATTTAAAAAAAGAAAAAAAAAGCCAAACCTTTTTAATACCACTTTAACCAGTGTGTTGTACACTTACAACCCAAGGGATCACAAACCATTGATGATAAAAACACATTGCACTAGGGGAATGCCCATCCACTACCATGCAGCAGGTCCAGGGACAACATGCTTGACAGGATCACAGGCGACAGAAAACTGACAGGTAGTGGTGTATTACCTGGACAAGATAGGGTGTCAACACACTGGTGTGCTAGCATATCTCATCTATACTTAAATATAAAACATAAAATCAACACAATGTATTCATGCTCATAATCTAAATTGATGAAAATACAGATTTGTCGTAAAGTACACTCCTACATTTACCACCACTTCAATTTCATAAAATAGAACAGAAAAGAATCCAGAGTTTCAGATTTGGTGCCAATCGTTAGAACTTCTTTAGCGAGTAT